CGCTGCTGAGCCACAAGCAACGAACTGCCCAAGTGTATTTCTTGTATCACCAGCTGTTCCAATTCTCGACCTCCAAAGGTAGCTCCAATCGCTCGTCCATCATTACTAACACCCTCCAGATATACAGCACATATGGTAGGCTATTCACAGTTAGACTAGTTCAAGTCTCCATAAAACACAAGATAATGTATTACCTGGTAGTCTGCCTACTGTACCTTTACAAGTCGTCAGGATCAACCACCTTAGGTATGCTGCGTGTTCGTCCCATCACCAGAATCAGACAACGCAATCCACCTGCTTCATCTCCTTTTGTGTCTTTTGCTGTCTAGCCCATCACTAATCTACAACAGCCTAGAGTATCAATCGCAATAACCATCGCTGCAGTAACTCGACTGCGAAGATACTATGTCTTTAATGAACTACATCTCCAACTAATACAGATGTACTCTAAGAAGCAGTGTACAAGTCAAACGAACAACAAGCAGTTAATACGAGATTCTTTTGCAAGGTGACCTTGAAACTACCAACTGTCTCCAAGCCAACGAGGGCAGTAGTAGTATAACGCTAATGGTGAATAGATAAGTTATCTACCTCAACAATACTATGAGCCGCCGGACCTTTACCTAAAGAGAAAGCCGGAAGATTGTCGAGAGGACACAGCGCCACCCTTCTTTCCGCGTCCCTGCAGTTGACAGGAAGGCTTGATAACCGTATCCTAGTAGACAAGATCGTTGGGTTCTTGATACAAACGAAGATTAAACATGAAGAAGTACATGCAGGCTCAAGATCCTCGTATGCAGAGTTACTTAGGTAATCGCTGCTAACATGCATTTCGTAGACTGGAGTTCTCGCAAATGTGAGCACGCGAGGTCCTCTGGTATCCTTGTTCGTGCCATCTGATCTGCGCAACGGAAGTCCTGAACCGTAGCGAGAGGAATGAGGTTTATCAATAATCCAAAGCGAAAGAGAGAGATGATTTCATTTCCCCAAGATGCGACTACCTCGCGGCACACTCGGCCACTGCGTCTGTGATTACGCAATGATATTACGACTGCGGAAGTGACGCACCTTGCGCAACATCTGTCCCAACCTTGATGACCGTTTGTACAACACGACAGACTTCGACCCAACGAACCATGGATCCCGGCGCCTGATGCCGCTATGTTTCGTGCTTCCGCGGATCCCGTGAGAAACAATTCGGATGACATGCTCTAGGTGGTAAACCGTGGGTTTCCATACATCAGTACACTTGAGCCCAACGTTCGGGTCTCGAGACAGCGGCGCCGAAGTCTTTACCGGCTGCAACATGCCAAGAACATATTACACCGCACCCGTCAGCTTTATCGCCGCATCTATGACAGCGCCAATAGTCGAAGCGGTGATAAAGCCGGCCGCGATATCCCATGTATCGTGTAATCCAACGAAGGATATAGCTTCGAGTGCGGAGCCGCATACTTGAGTGCGTTCTGCCAGCTCGCTGGGCTATTTAAAGAGTCTGGAGTAAAAAGAGTCGGAATCTGGACCGGACCCCAAACTTAGGACCACGGATCTTTCTACGCGAATCTCGGGCGCTAATGCAGATCTACACCCCCGATTTGGAAACGATCCAGGGGCGCGTCTTGGCTGATGACCGCCACAAAGCCACCGAGCTTAAGATGCTTCTTCGTCACGACGTGAGTTGCGAGCGGAGGTTTTGTTCGGATTCCGACAACAAAAGAACATGAAGATGTCTGGATGCGCGCAAGTATCTTTGGAGACTCTATTAAGAACCTCGCTGTAATGAACTGCTCAAGCGCTTACACCGCAATTCCCAAGGATGCCATACATTGCTAACTCTACGCTAGCCGGCTGCCTCCTGTATCTCAGTCTCAGTGTCAGCCTCGACCAACTCTGACACGCGCGGCGGCTGACCCGGCCATGGCCAAGCACCGTGGGCGTCTCTCTGATTGTTTTCCAATGTCTGGGCATGCGATTAGTCGTCGCCTTTTATATGCCTTAGCGCCCATACCTTTCGTTTCTTCTTCTTGGTCTATCTTTTTCCATTTTGTGCGGTGAAAAGGGCGGTCTGTTCACTCGTTTGCAGTCGTCGTCTTTACCGATATCAGACTTAATTTTGGTCGATCAACCTTTTTTTGATCATACACTCGTTTCACACACTCGTTCATACCGAATTATCATAATGCGTTTCTCCGAACTTTGTGCTGCGGGCCTGATCGCACCTCTTGTGGCTGCTCATGGCGACTTCCCTCTCCCGAAGATCGTTGGCTTGGGACCAAGGGATGCTGGAAAACTCAGGGCCAGGAACATTCTGGGTGGACATGCGGCACATGCGCACGTCGCAGGACCCGAGCATCGTTTGGCAGCTCGTCAAGGTGGTGCTGATGGTCGATGCGGACCGAGCAATGGCGGTGCTAGTTGTGCTGAGGGATATTGTTGCTCTGTAGCAGGTTACTGTGGTCAAGGAAGTAAGCCGTTCGCGTACAATTGCCTCGAAAGAAAGATGCTGATTTTGTCTAGATGAGTATTGCCAGGCACCAGACTGCCAGTTCCAATATGGCCCAGCCTGCGATGCCAATCGGGTTCCAGCTGGCGGAAGCACTCGTAACATTGCTCGTCCTAAGCTTGGCAACCAACCCTATGGTGGAGAGGGTATCTACGACTGCACTCAGCCGAACACGATTGCCATCACGTACGATGATGGTCCTTTTGTCTACACTGAAGGTGTATTGGATCAGTTCAAGGCTGCTAATGCAAAGGCGACTTTCTTCATCACTGGAATCAATATTGGCAAGGGCCCGATTGACGATGCGAGCCTGCCATGGCCTGCTACCATCCAGCGTATGATTGCCGAAGGACATCAAGTGGCAAGTCATACGTGGTCGCATCAAGATCTTAGCGCGATCACCAAGGAACAACGCTACGATCAAATGGTTAGGAACGAGGTATGACAGCCCAGCCGAAGCATTCCAAAGCGAGATACTAAGTCGAGATCTTAGATGGCATTTACCAACATCATGGGTAAATTCCCCACCTACATGCGCCCACCCTACTCCTCTTGCACGGCCGCATCAGGCTGTCAGCAAGATCTCGCGGATCTAGGATACGTTGTCTCGTACTTCGACTTGGACACCGACGACTACAACAACGTCACCCCAGACAAGATCCAAAACGCCAAAGACAGGGTGTTCAACGCTATCAACCCCAGCAACCCCCAAGTCGACGCTTTCCAAGCCATCGCCCATGACATTCACCAGCAGACAGCCCAGAACCTGACTGGCTATATGATTCAAACGATGCAGGCAAAGGGCTACAAGCTAGTCACTCTAGGTGAGTGTCTAGGTGAACCAGAAGCAAACTGGTACCGAAGTGCTGCGACCGGCCGTGTAGCGTCCTCGTCTTCCTTCTCAGCACCTGGATCGACAGCAACATCATCTGGTGCCGGCAGTGCTACATCCAGTGGATCTGCTGCCACTCCCACGGCTGTCTCCACAGATAGCACTTGCGGAGGTACATCTGGCTTCACCTGTCTTGGTAAGAACCGCAAATGATGGTGACAGGAATGCCTCGACTGACACCGACAACAAAGGTTTCGCCCAAGGCGAATGCTGCTCCCAATACGGATACTGCGGTAACACGGACGGCCACTGTGGAACTGGCTGCCAGGCTGGGTTTGGCAAGTGCGGCAACTCTGCCTCTGCTTCCTCAGGTTAGTACTGTCTCTTGAAAACTGTATGTGAGATGATAATCTGACTCCGTACATCCACCACTTAGGTGCCCCGTCCTCTGGATCTGCCGCTGCATCTACAGGTACTCGTACATCTTCATCTGCATCAGCTCCGACTTCTGCGCCCAGTGGCCTCGTAGTCTCAAGTGACGGATCCTGTGGCGCGGCCAAGGGCTTCACCTGCACTGGATTCGCGGAGGGAGAGTGTTGTTCGCAGTATGGATGGTGCGGCACCAGTGCTGACCACTGTGGAACGGGATGCAACCCTCTGTTTGGCAAATGCCCCGGCTCTGGTTCGTCTTCTGCTCCCGCGGCGTCGAGTGCGGCACCTGCACTTTCCTCCGCCGCTCCCTCTACTGCAGCGACGAGCTCAACAACACGCCCCACTAGCCTCAGCACATCCACCCGTCCTGTCACTACTTCTACCTCGACCAGCACACGCACTTCCTCCGCCCCAGCGGCCACGTCATCGGCAGCCAAGCTGAAGGTTAGCACAGATCGTAGGTGTGGTGCGAACAGCAAGTCGACGTGCAAAGGTTCGGCGTTTGGTAACTGCTGCAGTCGATCCGGAACCTGTGGGTCGAGTTTGTTGTACTGTATGAAGGCGTTGGGATGCCAGTCGGGTTTTGGTGATTGCCCTAGGTAGATGAGTCGGCTTCGACAAGGCTTCTTCTGTTTGTACAATAGTTTTTTTTTCATATTATTTTTATCCTTCTTGAAAGATGAGCGTTGGTTTACAAGGTCACGTCAAGCATGGAGTGGGGTATCTGTGTAGCATGACTATTGTTTTAGTTATTGAGGTTTCAATTTTGTGGCTGTGGTTGTGGCTGTGGCTGTGGTGCCAGGCATCACTTGAAAGCCAGCCTTGTGAGCTGAAAGTCAGATATCAATCTTTTGTTCAATCCGTACACACTTTCTATGCCATCATGGACTTCAAGGTGCAACCCTTCTTCCGCTACGAACCTCTCGATCATTCTCATGACTCTTTCCGTCTTTGCAGGCTCCTCCCTGGCGCCGGGGACACTCCAATACACTGCGAGCTCACCCACGAAACCATTTCCGCTCAGACTGATTGCTACAATGCGCTGTCATACACCTGGGGTAGTGCGACAGAACAGCGTTGGATTCGTTTGAATGGAAAACCATATCATGTTCAGCCCAGCCTTATGCACGCGCTCAAAGCCATTCGAAGGAGTGATGAAGCGGTTGTAATCTGGATTGATGCTATTTGTATCAACCAAGGAACAACTCCAGAGCGAAACCACCAAGTTGCCTGATGGGTGATATTTATCGAAAGGCGAAATGCGTCCTGGCCTGGCTGGGTCATGCAGCGGATGATAATGATGCATACTTCGACTACTTAGAGCGCGTTCGGACTACCGAGAGAGTTGAAAAGAAGCGAATTGACGAGGCAGGGAACCGCGCCGTAGTCTTCCTGAACAAACGACCGTACTGGCGCCGCGCCTGGATCAAGCAAGAACTCATCCTCGCCAAGGACATCACCATCTACTGCGGATCTAAGTCTCATGCGGGGGAATCCTTCTTCTGGTTCGCAAGTGTATCAACTATAGGCGAGTTTGGTGGTTATGAAGACTACATTTCTAGGATATACTTGCACAGAAGAACTAAGGGAGAACGTGAGACACTGGAACAATTGTTACACAGATATGCCAATTCTGAGTGCTCCAGTCGTCTTGATCGGGTCTTTGCGCTGTTATCGATGGCTTCGGATTGCACAGGCATGGAGAGCAGGCTCGTGGACTACAGCCTTAGTCCCTCAGCGTTGTTCTTTGCGTTGATTGCTCATTTCGAGCCCTCGAACGTTTTGCCATTCGTTACAATCCTACAAGATGCATTGAATGTGCGTCGAGTTGAGCTTCAGGAATACATGTGTTCAGTATTTGGAGACATCACTCGCAAGCCTTCCTCTCTCATGGAAAAGCTGGCCATCGACTATATCCACAGAGTACAGAACTACATGGTTTCGATTGCTTCTGGTATTTCGGTTTCGCATGCGGAGTTCATTACTCAGTCCTATAACGCCATGCTCCCATCAGAACTTCCACGCAAACACATAGTGTTCCATATCAAAGGCACCAAGCTTGGCTTGGGATTTATGCCCTCGCTGTTCGGCCTCCACTTTCGAGCCGTTTGTAAGAAAGAGGAACACGTCGGAGCTGAAGAAGCTGATGGGATTTGGGAAACCTACAACCCGCCCATCACAGTCGAGCAGGTCTGGAGATACATGATCCTTCCCGCCGTTGTCCTCGACAAAAGCGGTCCACATCTGATGGATCCAGATTTGATCGCGCCGGTAAAAGACGCTGTTGTCGGAAATCACGGTCCAGACGCCGTGAAACCCAGTATTGACATAATATGTTACACCTTGGCTGAGCTCAGGCGAAAGGAAAAGTTCAAGAACCGGAAACTTTGTTTGGTTGATTGTCGATATGTGGTCGGTACTCTGTACGGGTACTCACTGATGCGGCCGCTTGGGTTTAAGGAATCGAGCGACAAGTAACTGGAGCATGGAAAACCGCCCAGGAGACTTGCGGTCATGCCTTTATAATAACTTATTTGTGGGGTAAGATTTTAGCATGATGTTCATGTACATGGGTACTTTAGAGTATTGGTTGGCCTTGGAACTTGCAGCGCAACACCGACTCGAAACTTTCTATAACTATTAACCTTCTTCCGGCACAAATAGTGAGAAATCAGTCCAATCTGACGAGGACACGAGCAGTGCGGAAAGATGGATTGCATGCAAGTCATGGCATCTGAACAGCTCATGTTGTCTTGTTGAGGTGACAGACGTGGCGACATGGCCATGGGTCAAGTCATGATGTGTGGATGTCAGCGCTTCTCCACTGCCAACCGCGCTAGCCTAGCTTGTTCCCGACGCCAACTGATATCATGTCGAGCTGTCGCCCTTCCTCTTGCATCGCCAATTGACATCTGCGCATCACCGCAGCCCGTCGCCCTCATTTCCAGTCTGCTCGTCAGCTCTTCTCTTCGTGATAATTTCTGTTCGCCCACTACAGCTTCGCGCTTTCACCACCTGGGCTTCGGCCACGCACTTGAATTTTGGGTCTGAGTAAAGTACGTCGCCCATGGCGTCACTGTGCCATCGACGGCAGCGGTGCAATCGCGTCTCTCACCTCACTAACACTGACGCAGATCTGCCCTAGCCTCCCTCGTCATGGCGGACCTGCAGGAGCTGTTCGCCCGCCTCAACGGTGGCGCGTCCGGCAACAACCAGCAGCAGCAGCAGCAGCAGCAGCAGCAGCAGCAGCAGCAGCAACAGGGTTATCAACAGCCCTCTGTCTCCTCGCCTCTCTTCTCCCCCCAGCCAGGTGGCCCGCAGCCGCACCACCAGTCTGCCATCATGTCGCCCAACTCATCCATGGCCAACACGCCCGCGCCCGAGCACGTGTCGCAGCAGACGCCGCAACAGCAGTCCACAAACCTTCTCAACCTTCTTCGTTTCAATTCGCAGGGCGGTTCCGGGCAGTCTAGACGCGTCTCGCAGCAGTCGCAGGCGCCTGACCTGAACCTGGCAAGTGTCATGGGTACCAGGACGCCTTCCCAGGGCGCTCCCGCCCCAGCGCAGTCGTCGCCTCAGCAGAACCCGCAGGATCTTCTTCTGCGCCTGCTGAACCACCCCAAGCCAGCCCAGTCTAGCGGCAGCGTGCGCTCATCTCGGGCTGCCTCCGCTGTGCGTTCTCCGCCAGTCGCATCCCACAAGCCTGAGACGGTTGTGGACGACCTCGCGCAGGACCTCGCAGACGCTGAGCAAGAGCGTGTATCTTCCGACCCCGCTGTACATACCCCGGGGCTTGCCGATGCAGCTCCCCTCGCTCCCAAATTCACCTACGTCAATCCCTTCGACACGCTCGAAGCTGCCAGTCCCCGCAACCGTACCCCCACCCAGCAAGGCTCCAAGCCTCCTCCCCCAAAGATGGAGATCCTCAAGAAAAACGCACCCGAGCCTTCTTCACCTGCTCCCCACGACGACGCTCCCGCCCAAACACACGAAACTGTGGCCGAGGCCGTGAGCGAATTGGGCGAGCACGTCGGCCAGCAGATCGAGGATGCGCTCGCCGAAGCCGAAGCTGAGGCTGCTCTCCCCATGCCCGAGGAAGTTGCACAAGTCCAGGAGACTATGACTGAGATTGCAACCGAGATCAAGGACGAGTTTGCCGACCCAAGCACAGCCAAGGAGATTGAGGCTAGCATGCCCAAGCCCATTGCAGCTGCTTTGAAGGAGGTCGCCACTGAGATTGCACAAGATAATGTTGCCGAAGACTGGGAGACCGCTGAAGCTGAGGAGAGTCTCGCCAAGGGAGAGGACCAGACGGTAATAGTCTACAGGTTCCCTATGCGCGCCTTTGCCTCGATTCAGGTCAACCAGATGCCGCCCCGCCGTCTCTACTTTGCCAACGAGCTCTTCATGGACATTGCTCGCTTGAAGAAGGATTTCGACCAGATTGACCGCTCCCTTGTTTCTGCCAGTAGAAATTTCATTGTCTACGCGCTCGTCAAGAAGGGCGGTTTCCGTATCATCCGCCAGGAGAACGGTCATTACCGCCAGGTCTTCGAGAACCATCAAGAACGCATCTTCAACATCGCCCTTTGCACTTCGGCAGGCGATTCCCAAGAACCCCTCGAAAGCATCCTTGGAATCGGCGTCAACGGCACCGTCTTCTGGACTTCTCTCGACCCTGCTCGTGAAGACCAGTTTGGCGAGAACCTCGACTCTCAGGGTTTGATGCTTCCCCCATCGCCATCTCAAGATGATAACACATCTGGAGGCCAGCTAAAGACTCGCGCGAAGCCATCTTCGCGCCACCCAGAGTTCTTTGCTGTCGGCAGGGGCAAGTCCATTCACATCGTCTTCCCCAAGGTTGCCGCCGAATATGCTCGTAGTAAGAGCCGCATCTGCCACACCGAGAAGTACCTCAAGGAGCGCTCTCTCAAGATCCTCACTGGCAAGGCTGGCAAAGACTTCACTTTCAGCGAAGACGATACGATCATCGTGTCACTCGACAAAGCTGGCCGCATGCGCTTTTGGGACATCCGCGCTCTCACCGAGCCTGACCTGGGCAACCCTCGTAGCCCACCCCGCCAGGTCGAGGTCTCCGAGACCCTGCTAGAGTTCCACACTACTACACCCAATGCCAAGTCATGGCCCACTTCGGTGTTCTTCTTTGACAAAGACAAGCCGTATACTAAGGGTATTGCGCTGCGATATGTCATGGTCGGTATGAAGCAGAACCATGCATTCCAGCTCTGGGATCTTGGTCTCAACAAGGCTGTACAAGAGATTCACCTACCCCACGAGAACGAATCGGACGCCATCTGCAGCGTATCGTTCCACCCCCGAACTGGTATCATGGCTGTCGCCCATCCCACTAGAAACTCGATCTTCTTCGTCCATGTTTCTTGTCCGAGGTACAACCTCCCTGCCCTGAGCCAGGCTGCCTACATCTCCCGTTTGGCGAACAAGGGCGACAGGGGCCAGAACCCTTTGCCTCCAGTCAACGCTACTGCTATTATGACTAGCATCACGGAGTATTCTTTCGCTTCCAAGGGGCAGATCAGGAGCCTGCACATGCTAAACGAGCCCGCTGGACCTTCTGATGTCGATGACCCTGACAACGCTGCTCTCTTCGAATTGTACGTCATGCATTCCAAGGGTGTCTGTGTCTTGCGCATCCGCCGAAGCGACCTTGGCTGGAAGAAGGAGGGTGAGCCCATGCACCCCAAGGAGGCTGAGGAGGAGGGTGTGATTACCATCTCGCAGCTCAAGCCACCGCAGCCTGTCACAGACGAATCCTCTACTGCTGGCGACAACACTGCACCCAAGTCGGTGTCTGATCGATCTGCTGCTCGAGAGCCTCTGAAGAGGGAGAACAGCAACGTCTCGAAGCCATCCGTCAATCCCGAAGCTGCTATGCGTGCATCTACCCTTGCAAAGGTCGAGAGCAAGCAGGATGCAGCTCGTGCAGCTATCATCAATGGTGGTGAGAAGTCTGAAAAGAAGAAGAAGAAGCGCTCTGCCGCCACTGAGGCAGCTTCTCAAGTCTCAGCAGCACTATCCGCCGTGGCTTCTACTGCTGCTTCTACCCGTGCGCCCCCAGCCATGCCCCCGTCATATGCGCAAGCTGCTCAGGCAACCCCACAATCCAAGTCTCCGGCACCACCTGAGGCGCCTGTCGTGCAGGAGGTCGCCAAGTCTAAGCCCATCGACACCACCGAAGCGCCCGAGTGGGCCAAGCAGCTCATCAACAAGCACTTTCAGCAGCCAAATGCTGCACCCGCCCCCGCAGCCTCTGCAGAGTTTGATGCTAAGAAGCTTGAGGAAATCGTACAGGCTGAGATCTCCAAGGGCTTCTCTCGTGAGCTAGACGTTATGTACAAGCGCTTTGACGAAGACAAGCGCGTCTTGAACGCAACAAACGCCGCCAACCAGCAGGCTGTTCTACGCATGGTGTCTAGCACGCTCAACGAGAATGTTGAAGGCGTGATTGGGAAGATGGTTGAAGATAACATTAGCAACGTCGTACTCCCTCGGGTACTAGCAAAGACTACTGCCACTCTTGAACAGGGTCTGAGCACCAACCTCAAACCCGTTTTGGCGCAGCAGTTGTCCAAGGAAGTTCCTGATGCTGTCGCTCGTGCCTTCAAGCAACCCCAAGTGTTCCAGTCACTCTCTGACCAGGTCGCCAAGAAGATCAGCGGCAACTTCGAGCCCATGATCGCTGCTTCCGTTGCCACGGTTGTCAACCCGGCCATATCGAACTTGACAAACATTATTGAGCGACAGATTGGCGCGGAGCTCCGACAAGCTCATGCTCAGCGCCGTGAAGACGCCGCCAAGATCGCCGCGCTGACTGAAACCGTGCACACATGCCTAGAGACTATCCAGACCATGGCCGCCACCCAGACCGAACTCCAGTCCCAGGTTGCTAAGCTCCTCGAAGCACGCCAAGTCCCTGCGCCTCAACGTGGAGGAGAAGCTTCATCCCCCGCTGCCACGCGCTCCCCACCCCGTCAGAAGACGGAAGAGGAGCTTGAGATTGAGTCCATTACGCGTCTCATATCCGAAGGCAACTACGAACAAGGTACCATGCAGTGGCTGCAATCCCCCCGCAGCGCCGCACTTTTCGACACTGTCTTTGTCCGCTGCGACCCCGCCTACCTCCGCCAGGTTTCCCCGCTGCTAGCCTTGTCTACTGGTGCAGTGGTGTCTGAGTCGCTGAACCGCAACCTTACCGAGCGCCTTGTCTGGCTTAATGCTGTTTTCCAGAGTGTTAATCCTAATGTAAGTCTACTACCTCCTAGTCGTCATATTGTTGCTTCAGATACTGATGAACTTGTACAGGACGCCGAGATCCGTGATATTATTCCCAAGATCATGGATGTTGTCATCCAGCGTCTTACTGCTGCTTATATTCAGCTCAATGAGAGTACGCCAGGTAGTCCGCTATTGAGGGCTATCTCTCAGCTCGTCAACAAGTG